GCTAAACATGTCATATTGCCATAAGATTTACATTTAGCAGAAAAATGCAATAACAAAACTCTTGTTACTATGAACATATAAAAGAGTATAATATTTATATCTTTTAGGTTCCTTCTATATTTGTAAATATTCTTGTTAATACATTTAGTTTAATGTTTTATAATGGGTCCTATTTTAAAATGCCACTTAAATGCTCGTTTTTCAAAAACAAAGTTGAGTTTATGGACGTTCTTATTAAACACAATTGTAGCATAGCCAATTAAGATCGTTTATTGATGTGATACTGTAGCTTATAAATATATTTGAGCGCCTGGATATATGGAGGTTTTAATAAGAGTTGCATAAGGCGGCGTATTGGCGCATTGGCGCAGTGGTGGCCATTGGCCATTGGTCACTGGCCACCCAAAGAGATCATTTGGAGCAGCGGCCGCGGTTGGTGGCCAATTTTTGCGGGCAACTTTTGGTGGGTGCGTGTGAACTTTAACTCATAAATTTATGGGTGAGCAATTTATGATTTGGCTAACTGGGCGTATGCGCAATCACTCCAACTCCGCTCCACAATTACATGCAAATTACGCATACGCGGCGTTGTCAACATTTTGACAACAAATCGCCCGACAGATCGTGGGAGCACACAGCACGCCGATTCGAATCAAAAAATGTTTGTGTGTGAGAGACAGACGCGACAGTTCCAAAGGCGTTTACCCGTCGCAGCGACCGACAGACAGACAGCATGGAAAACATTTTAACATTTTTTCGGTACGAAAAAAACAGTTACAAAAGAAAAGAATTCAATCTCGCCTTCGGGCCACCTTTCGCTTAACATTTGGCTCGTAGGTGCAGCAGCCACAAGCTGAGTTATAAAGCCATATATGGCGCCCCCAATCGTGTGTGCACGCAAAACGCATTTTCGCATTTTCGTATTTTCGCATTTTCGCATTTTCGGCTACCTGCCAGCTTCCACCACTTAACCCCCCGGATAACCCCCACATTCCCCCCCTGGAAAAAAGACAATGGATTGGAAGTCAGGTCGGGCCAACAAGTTGATTTATGTGGGCGGCGTTGGAGGCGGTTTATGGCCATCGAAAGATTTAGTATTGAACATTCTGCACTCGCACGACAACATTCACTTTCAATGGCGGAAAATGCGTTTTCCACGATCGCAAGATTAGCGGTGGTATTTATGCGTTCGCAAGGGGATTTCGACTTAAGTTACTTTGATGTATTAATCGCTGGTTGGTTCCGCTCTACTTTCTGATAGATCGATCAAATTCGTAATTAATTGTGAGACCTCAGATGATTTATTCGATTAAAAAATGGCCTAACGATCAGATTTGCAGACAGCTGTCCGCCATTATTACGCTAAAATATGTTATTTATTTGTTAATATTTTCGCCTACAGTCTTTAAGAAATGTGCGGCTCAAAAATTTTTGTGATTTTTTAGTGCCTGAAGTTTGTCTTTCACAGCAAATATTCAACATACCTCTTTGAATTTGTCATTAAATTTCGAAATTCGTTAAAACTTTTTTATACATGATGAACATTTTTTAATGTAAAAAATAAAAATAATAATAAAAAAACAGCATGGGAATTGAACCTTCAAACTTTAGGTACGAATAGTAGACAGTATTTACCATCCATTCTACATTACAAGTTTTACGAAGCCTAAACTTGTTTTATAAGAAATACTGTTTTTTTTTAAATTTAATGGCGAGTAAGGAAAATATTTTTTTAGTAAACAAAAATATTCAATTCTAATCAAGTCATTAAAAAATGAATTGTCTTTCCTTTAAAATGTTGTCCCACCGTGTCTGTAGAAACAACCAGATATATTCCTAGCACGATCCCAATGGGGCTACTTTTTCGCCTTTTTCGGAGCTGGCTCACTTACATATTGCGGGGCGTACTCCATGGTTTCATCATCGTCGTCGGCGACCACAACAGGTGCCCCGCCCCTAACCGCATCGATGGGCGGGGGGCGTGTCCCCAGGCAGATCAAAGCGAGCAGGATGGCCGGCGGCAAATGGCTCGTTATCTGCAAAAAGGCATTTAAGCGGAATATGAATATGCGTTTTTATCATTCGAGCGCTTAATAAACGGAGCGATAAAAAACGAGTTGAAGCAAACATACCAAAACAGTTAATAAATTGCCTACAAAATTATTACGCGAGCCCAAAATAGGAAATAAGAGCAAAAAGGCAAAGGGGACCGGCTAAAAAAATTAATTGGACAACGAACGGAGAAGCGTGTTTCGGAGATTGGCCGGGATTTCAATTTCAATTTCGATCTCGATCTCGATTTCGCTCCCAGAGACCATGTCATACAGCGTTGTGACAGTTGTCAAATGGTAATGGCAAAATACACCTTGCCGTCCGAAATCCAAAATCCAAAATTAGGCAGACAGATAGACACCGGGGCACATTTGTATCGAGCATATATGACAGCAAATGCCTGTCCGCCGAAACGAAAACGAAAACTTTTGGAGATTGATGGCTTTGCTTAAGACCAGTAGCCAGTGCCTCGATTTCGCGATGCAAACGGGTCTGGCAGGATACCCACCGTACAATTCAATTTTCCCAATTGCAATCGCCTCGCATTTGTTTCTTTGCAAATTGCAAAACATTTTTTTGGACATTTTCGATTTTCGGCTGCGAGTTGCGAGATCGGCCCAGCCTCGATTGGCATGTGTCGCTGGTTTGGGGAGGCTGGCTTAATTAGCACAGCCACCGCGACGATGGCCATTCCATATCGCAGGCACCGGGATTTGTCAAGAATGGCACGACGATTGGCATGCCGGCAGGAATGCGGCTGAACAAATGGGGCGAAATTCGTTTCGGCATAGCTGTCATAGTTAAGTAAAATAGGTATTAACAAATATGCGAAAGTCACAGTACATTGTCCATTTGTGCAGGACGGGAAATTTCACGTTCCTAAATAAACTAAATTGATTAAATACCTATGAAACACTTCTAGGCACCCAATTTTTAAATAAATTGAATTGTTACTTAGGCTGAATTTTAGTTTTATTTTCTGGAAGTGATCAAATTAATAAGTTACTTGTGGAGCAACACTAAAAAAACATTGTATTGAGCTATTATCTTAGTCCACGAAAAGTTTTATGCAGGATATAAAACTACACAAAAATATTCTTTAACTATTATTCAACACTTTTAACTTTCTTTAGACAAACATTTCAATTAAATTCGATTGAGGTAAGAATTCTCCGGTATATATCGCCCAGATGATAAAATGTACATTTCCTGACTTTAATTGTAAAATAAAGTCGTTAACCTCTGAGATTGGATCAAAAATTTGAAATAAAACTTTTTAGTAAGTTTAAAGAACAAGCTTAAGAACCTTGAAAAATATGTGTAATGCTTTCATTTACGCTGTCTTAATTGTTTATAAAAATATTTGATTTCCTTTTGAATCTAAGAGCAACACATGAGTGTAAATGCGAGAGAACTACACGATAATTTATAAAATGTTCAAAATGTATTTTAAAATACTCATTAAATCATTTTATTGATCTTCTAATGAAGTTTTTATTGCTCAATGCACAGGAGTGGGATTTGCATTCGTAAACATTTGGACTTTCACTTAAAGTGAAAGTTTGCTTTTCTTAACTTTCGCTCTCGATTTCGATTTCCAATTGCCAAAAAATGTGGCTCAGTCGACAGCAAATGAATTCCTGATTTCATTTATTGGCATCTTAAAAAACACTTACATAGAACCGCATGACGCTTTTGGCAAATTAATTTTAATTATTCTACGGAAAACACGTCACTAATCACTGGGCGTTTTAAAACGCTGACAAAACGCGCTGCAGACGCTCCTCTTCGAGCTTCGATGCCGATGTCTCAATGTCAAGGACAAAAACGTAATTAAAGCGTTGGCGCGGCATTGCCAAAGTATTTATAGATGAAGACGAGGACCGGCACAAAACGCTGAGCTTCGGTTTCGTTTCGTTTCGTTTTCCCGGCGACAAGATTTTCCGGCTTCACCGGTTCCACTTCCAACGTCCAATATCCAATATGCATCCAACCATCCAACTTCCAACTCGCCAGACGCAACCAACTGCGATGAGCAACACATTGCAGATTGCACATTGCAGATAGCAGATTGCAGCTGCTTTGTCGCTTCCTAAGCTCGCTCTAATTGACAATTATTCGCTGAAACCCGTTTAGCCAGCGATACTATACATATATGTATATATACTCCCCGATTTGGGCGGCCCAACTTTTGGTTTCAGGCGCCGCCGGGCGGCAAGTAAAAGTCGTCGTCGTTGTCGTCGTCGACGCTTCGCTGCAGCTGTCTAATGGCATTATAAAATTTATACCTGCCAGCATTACGTTTCGACTTTACATAAATTAATGGCGATTTGCTCTGCGAATGTGTCGTGTCTCCACTTTGCCAGTTAATCCTGGTAATCCGTATTCAAATCAAGTGGTCGAGACCAACACACGGATCGGTGCTACAAATTGTGGAGCTTGGGAAAATTTCCCAGAGTCTTATGTTTGCGACGGCATAAGCCATGTATCTTTCAGTATTAAAAGGAATTTAGTTAACATGGTATTTTACGTTTCATATGTGATTTCTACTATTTTTATTACAAGCCCCTTTGTTAAGGAACAATTGCATAGGCTTTAGATTTAAATTTAATTTATAATGGAGAGAATTGTTATTAAGTGTGAAAAATATTACTTTTTAACAATCTTAAAGTTTTTGAATGGCTATTTCTATTTTTAATTCCATAGGGAAATTTGAGTCAAAGCAAATTTAGAATGGGGTCCTATTGAGAGTATGTGTTTTATTCTAAACAAACAATTGGTTAATTTTTACACAGGTAATCCCGTTTAAATTTCAATTTTTCTTTGATCTATAGTTTTCTTCTCCCCAACCACTTTGTCTATAATTAAAGGTTTCGATTATAAAGAGTTATGCTTATGTATTTTTATAAAAATATATATTAAGACAAATACTACAGGTGTTGCTTAAGTCAGGTTATTTTGTTGCTTTGTTAAATATCTGTTTCAGATCGGTTTCATCCTGGCAGTCCATCTCAGAGGTCCTTGAATCAGTGCAGTTGCTTCACGCTCACGTAGCTGCTGGCGTGTCCTCCGTGTCCATGTCCGTATCCCCCGTGTCCGTAGTGGGCCACATCGTGGCCGTAACCGTAGTTGGATCCATAGATATCGCCATGTCCGTAGGTCTTCTGATAAACCTGTGGGTGGTGGGCGTGGCCCAGTTTCTTGACCACCGCATTGAAGCCATTGTGATCGTCGGCGGTGTACTCCACCACTCGAGTTGTGCCGTCCGATTCCTTGAGCGAGTAGCTGCCCTTGACCTTGTCGCCATCCCGAGTCTCCCACTGGCTCTTCTGATCTCCCGTGTGGGCATCCTTTACACCGTAGTCGAAGTGGTACTTGGGATAGTGATCTGGCTCGTGCTTGTCATATCCATAGCCGTATCCGGAGTAACCGGCACTGGGATAACCATGTCCATAGTTGCCTCCATACACACTGATCACATCGTGGTCGTATCCATAGCCATGGCTCTTGTGGATGGGCTCCTCGTGCTTGGTCACCGAACTGTAGCTGGTGGCATGTCCTCCGTGGGGAGCCGCCAAACTTCCGCCCACCAGAAAGGCAAATAACAGACCTCCACAAAAGGTTTTCATTTCGAAGACTTTAATCGTTGTTTTCCAATCGGAACTGTGATGATTTCTGCTGGTTCTTAGGGGGCCCACATACACTTTATATAGCTATCGAAAAGTCTGGGGCAATCAACCATCGGGTGGTCATTCTCTTGGCCAAACCATTCACCATTCGTGCTAGTTGATTTGTTAATTACCTCACTAATTCGTAATTATTATTATTGTTTCGGCCATTGAGCTCTATAGAAAATCGAACACATTTTATATTAAAACCAAATCCGTTACAATTAAATTCTGCTGAAAATAATTAATTATAACAGAATCAAAAGGTGTCTGTCTGTAAGTTCGTTAACGTTTCGATAAGTTGGAGTTGTAGTTAAAGAGAAGGGCAAAACTAAGGTAAGAATTTATGTCTTACTTAGCAAATAAATGTTTTGATCGAGAATTTGAACTGTTAAATCAAAAGCAATGAGGAAATAAATTACCTTAAAAATGAAACTGCGAGGCCATTGAAAATTTACATTATTTCGTTAAGAAAAACGGACTTATATTGCATTGTACTCTACAAGTAACCATTATTTTTTATATGTCAAGAAATCTTAACACTTATAAATTATATAATTATATTATATATAACATTTATTGACAAATAAATGTGTCATTTATGTATATATTTTATTAAATAATATCAATTAAATTTCTTGTATAAAATATATGGCATGAAGATAGTAAAAATGCTTGGAATTAAAAACACTTTATTAATTTAATAATTCACATTTTTAGTAAGAAAATTTGTAATTCCTGTATTAAGACTAATAAATAAAAAAGAAAAATTTAAATAATTTACAAATCTAAAATTTAAAACTAAGTAAAACAAGTCCCTAAATAAAAGTCATTAATCAAACCGTTAACTTATTTGGTAAAATTGGTAATACTTTGTATATTTTCCTAACAAAAAAGCCTTTAACCTTGTTAAGTATAAATATTTAGAAAACATTAACGGCTCTTTAGTGAGTTACCACCAATTCGGAAGCTTTGGGTGCCCCACCGCAGACCCCCTGGGCAGAAACACCGACCGATTGGACTGTCCGCCCAGCCCTGCTCCCACTCCCTCCCCCTCCCCCTTCACCCCTTCACCACTCGTCTCAAGGTCATTTGGCGTGAAGTCGGCGAAGAAGAGGGGCGAACCCAAGAAACGCAGCGAGGCGAGGCGACTATTGCTAAGTAATTTGAAAGCGGGCCACACTTGTTGATTGATTTCTAAGCAACAAAAACAAACCAACAACCATTGCGTTTTTTGTATTTTATTTTGCTAGTTAGGCGTTGTTTACGCCCCGTTTATTGATGTTGTTGTTGCTGGCTAAGCTTGGTTTTGTGAGCCACATTTAATTTGCCAATCTCCCGCCCAAACTATGAATACGAATGAGGAAAAATGAAAATTTGCACAAAAATTTGAAGTATTTTTCATACCTATTTTATTTGGGACTCTTACTTTTTTCTAGCCTATTTAGCCTCGAGGGTACAATGTAATTAATCGATCCGTAGAATGGGCAGAAGTATAAAAGCATTGGGCATAGTCTACTGATTATCACAGTTCCAATTGCGATTTAGGCCAAGCAAGTCGATCAGAAACCAATTAAAATGGCTCAGAAAATATCCATCCTCTGCTGTGCTCTTTTGGGAGTGGCTGCTGCCAGCTATATCCCTGTCCCACATGGAGGATACGAACACGGACACGGAGTGGGATATAGCATCCAGACGCACCACGAGGCTCCTAAGAAGTGGCAGGATCACCACCAGGATCACCATTCGTGGGCACCAACTCAGGATCACCACCAGCAGTGGGCCCCAGTGGCCTCGCACGATAACCACCAACAGTGGAGTCACCACGAGGAGCCCCACCACCACCCCAAGTACGAGTTCGACTACGGAGTGAAGGACACCAAGACCGGGGACATCAAGCAGCAGTGGGAGACCCGCGATGGCGACAAGGTCAAGGGAGGGTACACCATGAAGGAGGCCGACGGACGCACCAGGATCGTGGAGTACTCCGCCGACGCCCACAACGGATTCCAGGCGACCGTCAAGCACGTCGGACACGCCGATCACTTCGAGCACAGCCACGGACATGGACATGGACAGGAATACGGACATGGACATGGTCATGCCACCAGCTACGCGCATGTGAAGCAGGACAGCAGCAGCAAGTGGGAGGAGAAAAGCCACAAGTGGTGGTAGAGAAACTGGCCAATGAGACTGTTTAACCGATTCGGACTAACTTAATTATTGTAAATACAAACGACTAAATTACAATCTATTGTTATAGGAAAATAAAGCAAAGCAAAGTGCAGAAAATGCGATAAAATATATAAAGAAAGTAGTTTTTTATTCTTCGTAAACATATTTCAGCGTAGGCCCCCGGAAAATTAAAAATATTTCTTTGTTTCGATTGATTTCGAATTATTTTTCAGGGAATTTTTTAATTATCATTTATTTGAGAAGATTAAAGATTACTGTTTGTGTTTGCAATTTTGGGTTGCTAAAGGTCAGGAAGTTCATTTGGTTTTGGTCGTTTATATTCTTTGGCACACCTTAGATTTCAATAGATATTATTATTTTTGGTAACCCTCCTAATATAGATAAATATATTTATTTTTTATAAATAATAAACATTAATTTACATTGAACTCAAACTATAACATTACCTTAAACCATGGATGGTGATTACTTAACTCATTAGAAAAAATATTTATATGGAGTAAAAGCTGTTTTAAAAATTTGCGTCTTATCAAAACCAAAAAAAAAATGCATACAAGTAATTTCTTAAAAAAAGTAAATTATCAAGATATTTCGTTTTCGATCTTTTGCCTTAATTCAGAAGTAATTTTTAGTCGTCCTAAGATATTCTCAAATTCAAAATTATTTTATAAATATAAATCCTCAAAAAAAATTTAATTTAAGACCTATTTAATAGGGGCTCGGTAAAGACATTTAGGCGCTCGGATAAGAAATTTGAAATAATGTAATATGCCTTAATGTAGAAATGACCTAAAATAAGATTTTAATACAAATCTCGAACGATAACACGGTTCGCTTTTTATGCCGCACCTTTTGCGATTGTATATATGTAGTTTAGAATCTGTTATATATTTGTACGAGGCCTAGTAGATATAATATAGAAGATATTTAATGCCCTCGTACTCATACAACAAAAAATCTTAGAAAAATATCATTATTGCTTTTATAATATTTTCATTTTACTAATCACAAACTGTTAGAATTATTTTATTTACACACACATCCTTAGAAAATATTTTTCGATAAACTTTTAATACTTTTAACAGTGACCAAAAAAAGCAAGTGCCGGGATTCGCCCAAAATTATAACATGTACACAATTCGAAGCATTTTTCGTACCTATTTTAAGGTATCTTTCTTTTTTCAACAGCTTAACCTTGAGAGTGAACGTTATTAATCGATCCGTAGAATAGACTAAGGTATAAAAGCATTGGGCATTGTCTACTAATTATCACAGTTCCCATTGCGATTTAGGCCAAGCAAGTCGATCAGAAACCAATTAAAATGGCTCAGAAATTATCCATCCTCTGCTGTGTTTTTTTGGGAGTGGCAGCTGCCAGCTATATCCCTATTCCACATGGAGGATACGAACACGGTCAAGGAGTGGGATATAGCATCCAGACGCACCACGAGGCCCCTAAGAAATGGCAGGATCACCACCAGGATCACCACTCGTGGGCGCCAGCTCAGGATCACCACCACCAGCAGTGGACTCCAGTGGCCGCGCACGATGGCCACCAACAGTGGAGTCACCACGAGGAGCCCCACCACCACCCCAAGTACGAGTTCGACTACGGAGTGAAGGACACCAAGACGGGGGATATCAAGCAGCAGTGGGAGACCCGCGATGGCGACAAGGTCAAGGGAGGCTACACCATGAAGGAGGCCGACGGACGCACCAGGATCGTGGAGTACTCCGCCGACGCCCACAACGGATTCCAGGCCACCGTCAAGCATGTCGGACACGCCGATCACCTCGAACACAGCCACGGACATGGATATGGACATGGACATGGACAGGAATACGGACATGGACATGGTCATGCCACCAGCTACGCGCATGTGAAGCAGGACACCAGCGGCAAGTGGTGACTAACGTGACAGTTAAACCGACTCGGACTAACCAAATTATTGTAAATAGAAACGACAACATTGCAAAACTATAGTTATAGCAGAATAAAGCAAATCAAAATGCAGAAAATGCAATAAAATTTGAAACCAATACAGATTTTTATTTCTTATAGATATTTTTTTGCTAAAGCACTAAACCAATTTTAAATAATGGTTCGTTTGAATTGATTGTTGTTTGAAGTTAAAAAAGTTTTGTAAAGTTGTGGATGACCTTTTTACAAGTCACCGAAAACTTAGAAAAAACTACCACGAAAATCGGTCAAAAATTTGATCAACGTTAAAATGAAAAATTTGAATGCAGATTTTTTGAGAATTGAAACACAAGTCTTTAGAGGTATGCCACTTTGAAATCGGTTAAAATTTGGTAAAGTTATGGACTGTGGAAGTCCAATTGGGAGTATCCCGTTTTACAAGTCACCGAAAACTTAGAAATAAATGACATGAAAATGGGTCAAAAATTTGATCAACGTTAAAATGAAAAATTTGAATGCAGATTTTATGATAATTGAAACACAAGTCTTTAGAGGTATGCCACTTTGAAATCGGTTAAAATTTGGTAAAGTTATGGACTGTGGAAATCCAAGTTTTGGTTACCTTTTGACAAGTTATCGGAAACTTGGATATAACTGACATGAAAATGGGTCAACAAATTGATTAACGTTTAAATGAGAAATTTTAATGCATGGTGATGATTATTAAGAATATAAATATTTTATAGGGTCGGAAATGTGTCCTTTATTGCGTAGCAAACTTTTATTTGAAATTGTAATATGTTAGCATCTGCAAGGTTATAAAAGGTGAACAAATATAAAATTCTTTGTTAAGTTATATTGATAATAAAAAACAAAATGATTTAGACTTGTTTCATTTATAAATAGCCATATATGTATGTTTGCTTTTTTTTTTGGTCACTACGAGATTAGGCCAAAACAATATTTGAAACACAAATGAGAAAAACTGCAACCTTTTACAAAATTAGAAAAAATGTTGGTGCGGTCTCTTTCTTTTTTCAAGCCGTTTAACCTCGAGAGTAAATGTAACCAATCTATTAGTAGAATGGGCTAAGGTATAAAAGCGTTGGGCATTGTCTACTAATTATCACAGTTCCAATTGCGATTTAGGCCAAGCAAGTCGATCAGAAACCAACTAAAATGGCTCAGAAATTATCCATCCTCTGCTGTGCTCTTTTGGGAGTGGCGGCTGCCAGTTATATTCCTATCCCACATGGAGGATACGAACACGGTCACGGACACGGAGTGGGATATAGCATACAGACTCACCACGAGGCTCCTAAGAAGTGGCAGGATCACCACCAGGATCAACACTCGTGGGCACCAGCTCAGGAGCACCACCATCAGCAGTGGGCCCCTGTTGCCTCGCACGATAACCACCAACAGTGGAGTCACCACGAGGAGCCCCACCACCACCCCAAGTACGAGTTCGACTACGGAGTGAAGGACACCAAGACCGGGGACATCAAGCAGCAGTGGGAGTCCCGCGATGGCGACAAGGTCAAGGGAGGGTACACCATGAAGGAGGCCGACGGACGCACCAGGATCGTGGAGTACTCCGCCGACGCCCACAACGGATTCCAGGCCACCGTCAAGCATGTCGGACACGCCGATCACCTCGAACTCAGCCACGGACATGGACATGGACTTGCACATGGACAGGATTACGGACATGAACATGGTCATGCCACCAGCTACGCGCATGTGAAGCAGGACACCGGCAGCAAGTGGGAGGAGAAGAGCAACAAGTGGTGGTAAAGGAGCTGACCAAAGAGACTGTATAAGCGATTCGGACTAACTAAATTATAGTTCATAAATACAAACCACAAAATTACAAAGCAAAGTTATAATATAGCAAGCAATAAAATATGAAATCAAGATAAATTTGCTTCTCCGCTCTTAGTTTTCATAGAATGTTTTTCAAATCCGGTGTTATTAACATTTCATATCATCTTAAAGATCGTACTGTTGTGGTGTAATAAAAATGTTAATGGACTACAAACTCCTTAACCGGTAATATAAAAATATATCTTAGTTTTATGTATTTTATATTTGTTAGCATTTGTCAGGTTCAATAGTTGAGTCGGAAGTGGAAACCTTCTTGGCGTCTAAAAGTCTGTTGTAATTTTCTTCACTTAAGGTAGTGCGAAATATCTTTTTCATATCTTTCGTGAGGGTGTTGAAGACCTTGACCTGCTCGCAAAAGTCATTCCAAAATTTTTCTTCAGAGTCCAGATCGGTGTTGAATATTTTCTTAAATTTGTCATATATTTCACTTGACTTTTGGCGAAGGATCAGGTCATCCTTTTTAAACTCCTCCTCTTTCCCATCAAATTCACGAAGTACTCGCATCTTGTGGACGAAATCCGGATTCCGAAGGAGCATTAGTTTGGTCAGCTTCATCTTCTTGATCTTATCTAGGACCGTGAAGCACACGTCAGGATTCCACAATGTTAAACAATCCTGCAGTTGGCTGAAGAGCTTGACAAAATCGCGTTCCGTGAGTAGCGCAACCTCGCGCTCAACCAACTCCTTCTCAAACCGCCTGGACTCGATCTTTGGAATGAGCCTTTGTTTCGGCTCCACGATTATTCTACCGGGCATGTCCCTCGGCTTCAGACGACCGCACTCCAGATTAAGCTTGATCTCCATGGCCTCCATTTGAGAGGTTTGCAGCCAAGTGTTCTCCTCGTCGGCGCTACTGAAGTTATTCGGCCTTTTCCACTCGATATCGATTCCCAAGCAGGTGGACTCGGGGATAAATGCCATCAGAATATTTTTGTTTAATTCTTTAGGCCTTCGCGTCATTTTTCCTGGGATCGCTCAAGTTATTAAAATTATTTTTTAGATTTTCAATAGCTATTTTCAGCGCCTACTAGTCGAGACTTCTAAAATAAACTGCTGTCAAAAAGCGATAAGCATTGTGCAAAATAAATCAATGCAATTTTGAATTGCTAAGAAAGATAATAATAGCTTTTAATGTTTGCATAGCATAATTTATAATGTTAGTACATATGACTCGCACTTAGTAATTAATTTTGATAATATAATAATGAATGAATTGTTTCGTAGCGAAGTGTATGTTATCTACATACAAAAGTACTTTACATACGATTTTTATATACGCAATAGCGGCACCTAGCGGTAACTTACTTAACTGTAATGAGCACTGCTTGTTAAACATGTCAAGCAGTGAATTCAAAATTTGTGCGCGGTCTTAGGATCAACTTTCAATTTATTGAAAAATCTTCGTTCCAAATGATCTGGCTGTAACAAGGTAAATTTTTAAATACAAATTTGTTAAACACTGGCTATACCTTTTTACAACCTTAACTTAAGTAGTCTTTAAACGACCGCAAATTAAATTTAATCGCAGTCCCTTTGTCAACTGGACACTGCTCATTGATGGAATGCTGTCCAGAATATCTTGCCTTCGTCATATAAATTCATCAATTAAACATTTATTTATGCCGTGAAGCAAAGTTTTGCGGTCACATAAATCTGCGAGTGATGTTTGCCCGGAAAGCAATCGTCGGAGTTGGTCGAAAACCAAACTGAATGCCTGAGGTCAGGCATCCCGAGGACCAAAAGTGATTGAGGTCCCCACCCTGGGAAAATTCCATTGGCAATGCTCCGAGGATAAGACTGCCACCGAAATGTAAATGATGTTGAAACATTTATCGGTTACAGAGAGAAAATTTCAACGCTGCGATAAGCGACAAACTGTTGACAGTTTGGATTGGGATATGCCAGGCATATGGCCGGATTTATTGGCCAAGCTAGTAATGCATGTATGTGGTTGGCTGCGGAAAATAAAGTGGCGAGGCACAACCTTTGCCTTTGGCTCATAATTTTCCGCTTCTCCACACACTGTCGTCCAGTCTTGGCCGTCCACCTCCAATTTTTCGCCTTTATATGGTTTCATTAAAAATGCAAATGAGCAGTGGAGATTGCAATCGTGGCAGCCGACCAGGTGGGGTCAACCAAAAAAAAAACACAAAAAATCCGAATCAGAAAGGAAAACTTTCACAAAGACCGAAACGCAGACGTGAAATTTATGCCAAGGCTTCAGGGACTGAAATTTATTGTTGCCATCGAGGGTACATTGATTATAAAGCGGTTTTTGTTATGGAAATAATTCATAATTTAAGTAGTTACATTTTGAATAGTGATTATAAGTTAAGTTAAGTTTTTCTTTCTACTAAAAATGCTTTAAGTAATTGCATTCGCCTTTCTTGACTTTAAGTTTGTGTAAGTAAAAGTTTCTTTAAATCTTAAAGCTTAAAAATCTTGAATCTTGCGTAATGAAAGATGGAACTAAAGGTAAATAATAGTTTATTTGTAATTAAACCTATTTTTACAAAATTTATAATTTTTTTATAATTTTCTCAATTGTTTTCTAAGCAACATAAAATATTTTCGATGATATGGAGATTTGCAGAAGGAAGGAGCTCTAAAAACATGTTTTCATTGTAAAGAATAAATAAGAAATGTAGTTAAGGAATAAAATATCATAGAGAATATCAAGAAATAATCTTTTAATTTATTTCTTTAGGTGTTCGCTTGAATTAGGATAGTTTGACTGTACTTTCGTTTGCTTTGCAATGACAGCAGTTAGAGGCAAGGGCAGAAACCTAATGCAGGTTTCTGCAAGTGTATCTCAATTGCATTCTTTCCGTAATATAGTACTGTTTCCCCTTCAACCTTTTTGTTGTCGCTTGGCCAAAGGCGTTCGCCAGACACAGGATGGGAAAAACTGAAACAGAGACGCAAAAAAAGGGAAAAGCAGCTCGAAAGCCGAATTAAATCGTCGAAAGTTCAAAATGAATGAAAAGCAGCTAGCGACGAATAAATGAATGAAACGAAAATGAATCCCAGAAGGAGGTTTTTCGGGGTGTCGGTGAGTTGAGTGAAAAAGAGCAGTGCCTGGAAGGACTGTTGCCCTCTTTTGGCCTCCTCCAGTTTTCAGTTTTCCGCCGACCATCCTGCCCCATTGTTATTACGGAGTGCGGGGGCACCGCTACCAACGGAGTGCGGGAAAGTTTTGCCTGATTTCGGCGCCGCTCAAAGTATAATAATGTGACCCGGCGATCCCAGCCTGCACCTTCCTTAACTTCTGAAGCTACATAGTGTTGTCATGGGTTTCATATTTTATTGCTAGATCCGGTAGTTCCCAAAACTGAAAGTAATGAGGCTTTGCCTAGACCAGAATTCCATATTTTGGAATAACTTTTTCGTTAACAACGACATATGAAATAAAATAATATTCACCTGATCAATGAATAACAACGGGAGAATAACATTTTTACATTTAGATTTTAATTACCGATATCTACCTTTGAAATAGGTTGATATAAAACTTATTTATAAATATTTATGTTTAACCAATAAAATTTTTGTATTTGATTTATAAACTTACCTTACGTTCGTGACACAATTTTTGGCTATTGTAATTAAATAAATAAAAGTAGTTAATAAACTTACAATTTTAGGCAATATTTACTTGGTATTATTATTTTTGTCACCCGAATTTTTTGGCAGCACTGCCGCCTTGTGCCGAGGTAGGCGTGGTCAGCACCCGGAGGAAAAGTGCATCATAGTGGCTTGTGCTGCTTCAAGTGCACACTTTCTCATGGCTTAGCACTTTGGTGCATGCCTCGTTGGCTTTTGCAGAGCGTCGGCGGGAAGCGGAAAAGGGTGGGGTAAATCGGGGAAGAGGGGAAGGAGCCGGACGAGGCTTATGCAACAAATAATTTAATTTTATGCTGCATACAAAAAGGCGCAACTGGCAAACGAACGAAGCAAGCAACCAACCAACCGACCAACGAATGAACGGGGAGGCGAAACGACAACGGAAATGCCACTTTACGGCCTGTTTGACGGAAAAGTGGACGTTAAGTTGTGAATATGATGATGGAGATGAAGAAAGTTGATGATGATGAGCACGATTATGGCCATGGACCCGCCGGCTGGCCGAGAGCAACAAGCACCGTCCTGAAATATGGCGCATACGCCCCGTGGGACGACAGGCTCACACAACAGCAATGAGGTCAGCCCATAAACTGGCCTAAATGTCATATCAACTGAAGACATCCTATGAACGAACGGGAAGTGACATCAAAACGAAGGATTAGGACATAAAAATGGACCCTGGGGATTTCATACATTTTTTTTGCGGTTGATCATCATACGAATAAGGTAATTGGACTGTTATTTGACTGACCAAGTTGAGGTTGTTTATTGGTTGTGAGCTTTGAAAAACTAAGGAACTTTAATAAAACATTAGAGTTTATAGTAGTAATTTGTTGTTTAGTACTACTTTAAGCTTGGATAACTACAAAACTTCAAAAGGGGTTCCCACCAGAAAGCTAAAATTAGTCAGCAAATGTTATTTAAATGTAAACAATTAAACAATTGGTTTTGACACTTGATAGTCAACAAAGTGGGTGTTAATAACAATTTTTTTCGGATACAAACACAGGAAAAGTTTTTTATTCATGTGTTAATAACACAAGTGAGCAGAGTATGACAAAAATTATTTCATTAAATGTACACTTTTATTTTTAACGCACATTAACATGTGCTAATGTGTTAATTTTTATGTTTCGATTTACGAAGCCTGCTTTAAACTATCTTTAGTATCTCCCCCCCATTTCGCTAATCTTCTGAAATGGAGATTAATGTACATTTAACCGCTAATTGGTGACCTCCTTAACATGACTTTTATGAATGGCCTGACTTACGCCCAAAGGCAACCACCAAGAACCCAACTCCTATGACCACCCATTCACCACCAGACTGCCCCGATTTCACGCCCTTTTGGGCAGCAGACAAATATCTTAATAAAGCCGAGGTCGGCAATCAAATAGTTGAAGCGCAAAATATAAAACATAAAATATGATTAACATATCAAATCTAACAGCAGCATTTCTGCCAACGCAGACACAAAAAATCGCTTTACATGATTGGGTTCGGACCAAACAGCAAAAAATAAGGGAAAAGGATAACGAAGCATGGAATTTGGGTCTGAAAAGCCAAAACTGACCGCCTCATAAATTGCAAAAACAACAGCAGCAACAGAAACAATATTAATATGAAATTCAACGAACGAAACGGATCAACAAATGAGCAAATATCCAAACCTATAAAACCATTTAGTTAGATGAGCGTGAAATTCCATATAAATTTTTTGTTTTTTTTTTTGGGGATTTGTGATCCACTTTAAACGTGAGCGAATAGAAAGTGGGGTGAGGTGGATTTCGGAGAACGAAGGATGGCCACAAATTTTGCAACAACTGTGCGGCATTTTATGAGTTTGCCACGCCCACACAAACACACATGCACCAGCACACACTCACACACACACACACACACACACACACACACAGCAAGAATGGCAGTCATGACACTTCTGGGCCAGCGTTAAATAACATTTAAACAGAGGCCCAGGACACGTACAAAGCACAGGGGCTGCGGAGGGGGCGGCGGAGCAAATGGAAGGATGTGGCCATGGACATGGCGTAAAAGGATGCGGGTGCACTGGAAAGAATTTTCCGGCTTTTCTTTTGCTAGATTATCTTGAAAATATTCGTTCCAAAACTCTCCATTTCTGTAGGTTTTATCAACATATAAAGTTTTTACATTATGCAAAGTGTTTTGATACAATTTTAGTATTGCAATATTTTGTGAAAAAATACAATTTTTAGGTTCTTTTAATAACATATTATATTAAAAATATTTCCACAAAAATTATGAAAATAAATGGTTTCCTTCTGTATGTAAAAATATCCAAAAATCTGCACGTTAGG